TATGCACCTGCTCGTCCAATTATTGAACTACCATTCTACACTAACTTTTGCTTTGGATTCACCAATGAACCTAACGGGGATGTAAGTGTCTCGCATCGATTTGTTCAAAGCTCAGAGAGGTTTTGCAGAGATTTCGTCTAAATTCCATTTCCCTCCAACCACACTTTTCACAATCACCTGAGCAAGCCGTTCCCATCAAAAGTGGAGGAGTTCTTTTGCGAAAAGGCACCTGCACTCGGTGAGTATCAAAGCTAAAATAATTTTGAAAAAATGCTATCAGTGATTGCTATCCTGCTATCAATTTCAGGCTATTTTGTTTCGATGTACATTGTTCAGGATGTCGAATAACACTTCACGCAACACGAAATCTTAGGATTTTGATAAACGATGAGTTTGTGCATACAACGAGAGATCAGAATAAGTTCATTGCAATCATCAACCGCGTATTCCAACTCCGCTCTCTTCACATTAGCATCGATGACGCAGCGGATTGTCAGCTCTTTGACATAACCATTGAAGAAATGTTCATAAAGGAAAGCATATAAATATGGCTCGAGACTATTTGTTCGTAGAATCCATGGCAAAAAACGGCTTTGAGTCCCTAAACTGCAAATATACATAGGAAAGTGATGAATGGTGGCAATACCCAATTTGAGAGTTCGTAAACCTTTTTTTTGAGACAGACTACAATTACATGTGATTCAACTCTTATTATTGCTTAGATGATATATTGCCTATCTATAGAGAATAAGAAGTTATGGGTGAATTTATGAAGAACTATTAAATCGCACCTATTTAGTAACGTGTGGCAGACATGACAAACATTCGCAGGTCTTCGGTTCGGTCCACTCGGAACAGTTTGTTGTACACAAGATGAGCAGAATATCTTGCAGCAATGCAAACACCTCAAAATATGCTAACATTGAGACAGAAATACTCTAAAGAATACTATTCAAATTAACAAATCTACTGGCCTTAGAACACACCTGGGTCGAGGCTTAATTTTGATCACTGAAGCTCCACATCCTGAACAATTCTCAACATCGTCTTCCCACTGCCATCGCACTTCCTGAAGTACAATAATATTTTCAGGAATTTGTTCGCCTTGAACTGTACCATGTTGAAACAAAAGCTCTTCAAAAACTACCTGCTCTGACTGTCTTATTTTCTCAAGTTGAATTTGCAAGCTTTGAGATAACTGAACGAAGTCTTTTTGCACTGCTTCAGATGTATCCAGCTCGCTCTGCAACGAAGTGCAACGTGCTTTGTAGTTCTGTGCAGTCATTTCAACTGCCGCTCGTTCACTTTGTACCTAAAGTAGGTATACATATATGACTGGCAAGATTGCACCTATATGATGCTAATCAACAGATTTGAGAGAATAAAAAATGAATTTTTTGACCAAGTGTTGGCCTAGCCCGTTAATAAATCATTCTCTCCTTCCAGGATAGCTATGAGCCCTTCAAGGATGGTGAAAGTTCTGAAAGTTCACGTTATCCGCTCGCGCGCCGGCTCAAGTACTTATGAGCCTAAGCCGTTTGGCCTTGAGCCGAACTAAACCTGTGTTTTTCTGGAAAAAATGAAATTTCGTTCAAATTTTCTTTCTTGTCTTCAAGTTTTTTCCCATTTAAGGGACCAAGAGGAACGTAGAACGAAGAGAGTCGTAAGTTTGCATATCTCTTTTATTGGAGCGTTTTTCCTTTCTGAATGAGATTCAGCGTATAGACTATTATGTTCTCAAAACCATTAATTGAAATTTGCCAAAATCACATATTTCATCACTCCCGCATGTTATTTCATTGACATCTTTTTAGAAGTTCATTGAGTTCTACATTAGCTCCTTTCCTTTTTTTTTAAAGGTTTGGCTAAATTCATGTTTACATGTGCACGTATATCTAAGAACATGCAATAAACTTTACATTAGTGCATGGTTGGGACGGGGCTAGTGCCAGTCATCTCTGTTTAATTGTGGAAAAAATGCTTCAAATGAAAGGTTGACGTTGAAACAGGGACCCCTCATATCACTCTTCTGTTAGTGACATCTGAGTTAGAAACGAAAATGGAAAAACAAGAAAGAAGTTGGAAAAAAAGCAACTATTTCAGAAGAAACATAACAATTTTCATTTGGCTCCAAACGGCTTAAACATAGGCAGATGACCCGCGCGCGAAGCGGGCCTAATAGCGTGGACTTTCACGATCCTTGAAGGGCCTTAAGCTATTACATGTTACAATTCAGAAAGAAACATGAGCAATATACCTGTTTCACTTGAGCTTCCAACTCGGCTACTGTGTTTTGGAGATCGCGTATTTGTCTTGAATGTGACTCACTGTTCATTACAACAGCGTCTGCAGTAGACAGCTGAAAGTCATTCAAAAACTGTTTTCAAAGCAACAACATTAAAATGCGTTGCAATCTTTTAAAATGCAGAAATTTGCCGGAGCAAACAAAAGTTTTTGGCAGAAATTCTTATTCCTAGGTATCAAATCTTTAATTGTTGTAGCTGGCTATCTTCATCCTTTTAAAACTTAAAGCATCATATTGTGCTATCTGTTACCTCTCTTAAATCTTTCAAAGTTGTATCTGCATACTTCCAGCCACAGTATGTACTACAAATATCAAGCCGATTTGGAACCTACCTTGCTAGCTGCAATACCTAATTGCGTTTGCAGATGGTTGACTTGAGCAAGGAGATCACGCTCTAGCGCCAGTTTGGCATTTCGCTCTTCACCAATTTGTTCTCTGAAAGTTTGAATACAAATTATGTGGACACCACTCAATTGCTGTTGCAGGCCTACTTGCTGTTTCTTAAGAGCTTCACTCACCTCAGTAGGGCGACCTCATCTCGTAACTCATTCTGTTCGTGTTGACGAGCCGATTTCAACTCTATCAGTTCTTCCCTCATCTGCAAGCACAAAAACTGCAACTGATCTGCGTTTTGTGGAAGATCAATTGGCTCAGCCCTCATCTCGATCGCAGTTGCTCGATTCGAACCGAGTAACTCCTATAAAAAATGAGCTCTAACAAGAAAGAAAAGCGATAAAATGATAAAGTTAAAGGAGATACCTGATATTTAGTGGCCAATTTCTTAATGTCGGACTCTAAAACCGAGCAAACATGGGCAACTTCTTCTAACTGTTTCGTCGACTTAGCCCTTTCTTTCTTTTGGGTCTGAGAGAGCTCTCTGAGGCGATCTTCTAATGCTGCATTTCCAGAGAGGGCTACTTTCAAATCATCGTTGAACTGTGCAGACAGCTGAAGTTCAGTTTTATTCCTAGCAGGTAATGATCGGAACTTAATTTGATGCAAAGTCAAAAGTGGGCCGCATTTGTTTTAGCCAGTTGGAAAAAGTTGTGCTACATCCACTAAGTCCAATATGATTATTATGAGAAATCACGTAAGTGATCGCAGTTTTGGGTAAATAGCAAGCATATGCAACTATTAAAAAACTACACGGGAGAAACCAGAGGGCTGATTACAAAAGTGGAGTGAATATAATAGGCAGTTCGAAATATAGGAAAAAGTCAAAACAATAACATAGAAAGTACAACTGAGATTCATCAAGTAAAAACGGCTATGATAAAGGACAACCTCAATCATTTTCTTCTCAACATCCTGCCTATATTTTCTTTCTTCGGATAATTCGGTTTCGTACCGTTCTGCTAAAGACTTCACAGCCTTTAACTGGTCCCGCAGCTTTCGCTCATTCTCCTAAATTAAAAGAGCACTCATTTGACAAAGTAGTACTAAACTGGTATACCGTTCTGACAAAGGCTCCTCCTCATCAAAATTCACTCACAAAAGATGAATGTTGAACATTTGTCATAAATAAGACACGCTGTTCAACGTATGTTCGCGGTTATCGACCCCCATGTGCAACTAAAGTGGTTCATGCAATTCAATATTCCGACGTACTCTGCTACGGCGCAGCACGATCTGTATTACTTTGCAGGCATTTTTGAAGATACAAACCCTTTCGTGGATATTTTGTGAAGAATCAAACTAATACTAAACAATACATATATAATAACTCCACGGCACGCAAACATCTCCCAAATAATAACAATAAAAACAGCACTATTTCTTCATCAAATATTCAGATTTCATGCCTGAGATTCATTTTAGATTTGAACTAATGTAGTTTGACACTTCCTAAGAATGTCGAACAAAGGAAGATCAGCATCTTGAGGAACAACATTTTTTACCATCACAAAGAAATTCTTCGCATCCCACACTTACTTTGATGATTGAATGATCTTTTAAATCGCACTGTGCAAACCAAGAGGGAGGAGGATGTATTATGTGTATGGTCTTATCCCTAAAGCAGTTAAATTTTATGTCCAAACCCAAATCATCCCAGCAAGTGAGCTAACGAGCAATATATACTACAGGGATCACCCCTTTCCTGAATATATAAAATTGGAAGTTGTTATCGTCACAATTAAAGTTCCTTCACCAGAGAAAACTCATTCTCAAAATATCTATTGGCAGCTATCATGCCATCCACAGGAATTCTCAATGTAAAGTTGAAACAAGAGATGGAAATTATCAAAATGATAGTTTACGTCATAATTCTACGACATTTAAAATGCTTTGGGAATAGCGCAGATTTAAGAACTGCAGCCAACAGCAAAGATGTGATTGCTTGCACCAACACCATAACTGCCATGTTTTTCCGTTGTTCTTTTGTCCTATATTTCTGTTACTGAAGAACTCCATATACAACTCAAACACAACATACTTGGATCAACGTCAAGTTGACTTCATAATTTTGACACATCTCGCAAGCAAGCGCGGGATTAGGTGATAGTGGAGGAGAGCGAGTTTCAGAAACGCTTTCCTAAAACGTGATAACAGCATCGTATAAAAAAAAACTGAAAAAAAAGTTGCACCTGTGCAACAGTCTCCAGTACGGCACTATCTGGTTCTGTTGCCGAACCTTCGTCCATTCTCTGCTTCGAAAAAATGTTTGTTCCTTGTAACAATTTTATATTCATTTGCAATTCTTCGTTCCAACAAAAACTTATATTGCGAATGATAAACCGGCAGAACAGCTATGACATGTTTTTATTCATGTCCTAAGCCAAATCTTATGCGTAATCGTGGTGAGTACATATGCTCGTGAGACACGCGAATCGAACAAAAATGGATGTCTCATATTTTTTTTATTCGAGACATTTAAATGCTCTTGTACAAAATGGAAAACAGTTCCCCGTTGTTTGCTTAACTGCTTAAGTGAAGACAGCGTGAAATTTCACAACAATAACTAGAGGGACTGTTTAATATAGTAGCAAAAGTACTGCCACAACTGTTGATATATACAATGAGCAACGAGACTGCCTTTGTAATTGAACTGACGATCTCTCAATGCTTTACCTATAAAGTCTAAAGTTTGACAAATTTCATCGTTTATATTAATCGTTGTTCAAGCTCACAGATATATTAAACCAAAGATAAATGATACCAGCACATTAATGAAAGGAAATTTGGAATTTTCATCGTCTCATTTTTTCTCACAAGTATTTGCCACTGCCCATTAGGCTCCATCCATACGTGCGAACGGTAGCCATAGCTTGTGATGGCCTTCACACATAAGACGCATATTGATTACCGCCTTTCTGGAGTCTTTGCAGCGTGAAGCTGATTTTGATGCGCTTTTGCAATCTTTCAAGTATTTCTTTCGTATATAAATAAATTAAGGAAAAGATTTACAAAAATGAGTTCAATGCCAGTCAGGAAATTATGGTAATTGGAAGAGATTTTATGGAGACAATGTGAAATTATCTACTATTCATGGTTGATTTGTTGAGGAGAAGAGGTGACAGAACAAAAAAATACAGAATATGAACGGTATCCTTGTAATACAAGGTGACCTTATACTACGATATCCCTCTAGTTCCAGTTGCCTGAAGCAAGCCCTGAGGATGTAGACATTAATATTGTGCATTGGGGTAAGTCAACTTGTCGAAATTTGCTTGTCAATGGCTTTGCTTGGAGGTCCGGTAAACGGCACCCCAGCCAACGGCCGGATCGCAATATAGCGCCGGATGGGGCAACTAGGGCAACTTATTTACAGCTG